TTCTGATAAACACCTTGTTTCAAAACAAGCAAAGGAAGGAGTAACTGGGAGTCTGGGAAGCGTACCGTTAATTGATACCTGGGAAACGACCACATGTATTTCATTTATGAAGTCCTCTTCCTCCAAGAGGTAGCTGTACGACTTAGAACAGAAACAGGTCTAAGTCTACCCAATTGCCTGTTTTTGTATGGCTCACAAGCTACGACTGGTTTTTACTTTTATAATGTTTTTTAAAGAAGCAGATTTTGTTGCACATGAAAATCACACGAGGTTCGGTTTTCGGTGTCCGTAAGTTAAGTTTTATTGGGACGCAGCCTTGCTCGCGTTCATGCAGTGTTGTCGTCTGCGGCCCCTGCTGCACTGCAGTGGCACAGTCTTCAGTGGATGTGACAGGCCGAAGGCCCACCAAGCCTCAAATGTGTATTCCCTCACCCTTTACAGGAAGAGCTTTCCAAACCCTGACACAGAGTTTCTGATGAGGCATAGTACGGGTCAAAAAGAACACATATCCCGAATGTATGTGCTTTTAAGAAAAATTCAAAAATTGCTGTCTGACCTACTGTCTCCCCTTACAAAGAACTCTCAGAACCACAGAGCCTGTGTTTCTGAGGCTGAGTTCCTGGCCATCCTGTCCTTCCCCACTCTCACTGTTCTTGGAAATTTACAACGTGAAGTGTTTCACTTCTATTCCAAGAAGGAAGAAGGAAAAGATTGGTTTCACAGCTTGCTGTTTAGGTATTTCAGTCATTCTTCGGCTAATTCATCTCTTTGTGTGTGTGTGTAGTGATGCATATGAGTCTGAGTCAGACTTTCAGGTAAGACATGTTCCTGGCCTTTCCTTGAAGAGGAAATCCAGTACTTTTTACACTTCAGAATAAAGACGCATTAATAAATGGGATGTATAATATCACTCCATGTGATTCCCAGTACACAGGGCCAAGTTCAGAAGACCTTAAGGTAAACCAGCTGACATGGGATCATTAACACCATCCAGTGCTCTGAAGTTATGCCCGTTATTATTTTGAAAAGAATATTTTACTGCTTTTCTGGAAGCTAACCAAACAAAAATTACTGTATAACTTGTTTTTATCATTTGTTTCATGGTTTTTGTTTTTTTTGTTTTCTCTTGCCTCCTCCCAGAAAATCTTTCGCTTTATTACTTTGGGGCCCCTGGGGCAATATTTTATACTTACTTTACAGAATTTTGTAAACATTAGAAATAATGTATATAAGGAGCTAGGGCTTGTGGCTGACATGTAATAAACATTCAGTAAATGGCTTTTATTAGTAGTAGTAAAAGTTACCTCCAGAATAACATAAATTTAAGAATAATGCAGTGTCATCTTTTCAGCAAAATTAGTATACATAATAAGGATTATGGAAACTTTGCTAAAAGTATATTCAATGCCGCAGTTTCTAACTGAGAAAATTGGACACAACCAAAATGTTCATTATATGAGATAATGGAATATCATTCAATATTACTATTTAGTTATGAACATGTTACCATTTAGCCCATAAGTGGTAGATGACTAGGGTTCATTTATGGCCACGTGGAGTTTAAACCTCATTTCTCTGAGGAATGTGATTTGTGTACATTTGAAAGCTATAACCAAGTGGGGAAGAATTTTAAGAGTTGAAACTAGGATAGTTTTATGTTAAAGGCACTAGAATAATATGGAATGATGCCGTTTCCCCAGTGCATACACTCTGGTGAAGGACCAGGCCCAGTTTTCAGAATATCTGCTTAATTAATTGTTCCTCTTGACGTGTAATTCCGTGTACTCATCTGAGCTTCTCAAAAGCATAATGTGGCGATGGAAACTAAGCCCCCAAAAAGAAAAACTGGGCTAAGCTTTCTAGCTTTTCCTCATAGAGACAACAATTCAATCATTTAGTGACTCAATACGTAAATGAACTTCTTTGAGGGTCTCTGAATGTCTAAGCCTAGCCTGGCAGGAGGGAGGCATGAAGTGAGGGGAAAATTAAATAGTTTAAGAGGCTTTAGCACAGAGGGTCAATGCTACCTATTTTCTCATTTATATTGTGAGACTGGGAACACTTGAGTAAAACGGGGATTACAGAAAACTGCCTTCCATATTTATTGAGCTCTGCTTCAACCCTACAAAACCAGTCAATTATCCTTACACTATAGGTGGAGAAACTACGGTTCAAAGAGGTGAAGATCATACAACTAAGAAGTAGCAGAATTTAGATGGAAGTGGAGATGCTCCCTATTCTCAGGAAATCTCAATCTAGTATGGGATATAAATGCACAATACACTAAAGTATTAGGCAAAATACCAGTGCCATAAGAGAGGTTTAAAAAGTGCTATGAAGATTCAGGGGAAGCAAGGACATATCTAGCTGGAAAGCTTAGCAAAATTTGATTTTATTCCCACCATATGCTGGTTACTGGACTAGGCATTGGGAATATAAAAATGAATAATAACCTGGCTGGTGTGGCTCAGTGGATTGAGCGTGGTTGCGAACCAAAGCATCGCAGGTTCAATTCCCAGTCAGGGCACATGCCTGGGAATTGCAAGCTATGGCCCCCAGCGACCGCACAGTGATGTTTCTCTCTCTCTCTCTCTTTCTCCCTCCCTTCCCTCTCTAAAAAAAAAAATAAATAAATCTTTTTAAAAAATGAATAATAAACATCCCTGCCCCGAGGGAGTTTATAGTCCAGCACATTTGGGACAGAGATACGGCAGACTTGGGCAATGCAGGGGTCTTCAGAAAGCCGTCAGATGAGTCTCTGCAGCCAATCTGTTCCTTGTTCAGACTTCATTTCACTTTGGAAATCTAGGCCTGAGTCTGGCAAAGAGCCTTGAGACTGGCTTTTTCTATAAATAGACAGAGCTGGAATTAAGAGGACTTCCTCTGTAGGAATATCAGATTTCACTCTTAGAACTCCTGCCTTGCTTTCCCAGTTTGAATACGACTTACGAAAGTGCTCCAAACACAAACTTCTTTAATGAGGTGTTTTTTTTTTTTTTAATTCAGAGGCAAAGGGTCAGAGTGAATGGATTTAGAACATGGGCTTTGGAGTAAGATGACCTGTGTTTGAATCCCAGGTCCTCCATTGCCTGACACTGGGAAAGTCACATTGCTTCATTTACTTCATTCGTAAAACGCAATTAAAAATACGTTTCAGGGCTTTGCAGCAGTACATTAGATACACATCTTAAGTAATTTAGCCCCATGCACTTGGTGTATGATGAACCATCTAAAAATGGCTACTGTAATTATTATCAGTTACCCTAATAATACCTGATCAAGGCTTCTCCACAACAGCACTGTGGCCTTGCTTGGAATATTCTCTCAGTGAATGTGGTATACCCCCAGAATTATAACTTAGAAACCTCCAGAATTAACTGAGTATGCATAAGGATGCATAAGTATGCATAAGGATGTTTACCTCATACTATGACACAGGATCAGAAGACTACGAAGTCACAGGTAACCAAAGTACCCTGTATTTCTGGTTTTTCATCCTGCGTGTTTTGGAGCACTAGACCTGTGTCTCTCTTTCTCCCATGCTCCCAGCCTTAGCGCTGCTTATTTTTTGGCCTCCTGTTTATTCAGAGCCCTGTCTCACCGCCATCTCTGCCCTGTCTTCCGAGCAGTGATGCGTGCCCGGCCTATCTCTTCCCCTCTTGCCAGTCTCCCGTTATTAAAACAATTCCTGGAAATAGAGCAGAAGGCTTCCGTGGTCGATAAGAAAAATGATAGTATCTCTTGGCCTAGTCAGTCCCTCTGTCCTTCACAAAAAAAAAAGGAAAAACAAACTAAAAATGAGGAAGACACTGGATACCAGACGGGAAGGGAATTTCCCAGGATGCTGGTGAGAGGCCATCGCGGACAGCGGGGCGCACCTGCCGGGAGAGAGTGAGTCCAGACAGGGCTTCATGAGAGACTCTTTGTCGGAAGGTGAAATTCATAGCGTGCCCGACCCTTCGGAAAGATTTGGACGATTGATGAAAAGCTTGAGGTTAAATTATTAAGTACACGGAAAACTAAGCAAAGGGAAGATACAAGGCATGGACTCCCAAAAGAGGAAAAACAGTTGTACAGGAAAGGAGAACTGTGCTTCATGGCATGGTTTAGCTTTGAATTGTATTTCTATATTCATGATGATACAACATTTGATATTAACCTAACCAAAATTAATGATGCAATTGGAAGGATGGGTAAGGAATTGGCTAATCAATTACGGTGCATGTACCTAGAGAAATATTTTACAGGTGTCATTTTTAAAAAGAGGCTCTACATGAGCTTATCATCATATATGATATGGTTTTCCCCTTTAATTATGCTGTGCCCTTGGCTTAAATGCCCTTTTCCTTCCTTCCCCTTTCTTTTCATTGGTATTTTCTGGAAACTACATCCCACAAGAAGGCCCTCGGACAACCAAACTGTTTAACTTCCCCATTAAACTTTAACCTTCCTGATAGCTGGGACTGGGGCTTACTCACTTTTACGACTTCAGTGCAAAGCTCAGGGCATAATCGATATTAGGTGCTTAGTAAATGTTTGCTGGGTAAAGAAAAGAATAACGTGGCTCTGGCCAGTGTGGCTTCGTTGGTTGGAGTGTCGTCCTGTACACCAAAAGGTTGGGGGTTCGATTTCTGGTCAGGGCACACACCCACGTTGCAGGTTTAACCTAACCCAGTCGAGCACGTAGGGGAGGCAACTGATCGGTGTTTCTGTCCGACATTGGTGTTCCCCTCTGTCTGTCTCTCTCCCCTCTTCCTCTAACAACAATAAACACATTTTTAATTAAAAAGAATAAAAGAATAATGTGAAAAATACTTGTGTTATGTTAAGTAGATTAGGAAAACCTGCACTTAAGGTTGCTGTGTGGATCAGATGGGAAGGTTTGCCTGAAACATCCGGTGTGATGCCAGGCAGAGGTGTTTGGTGAATAGCAGGGATGGAGGCGGTGCCGAGTGTGCTGGTAACAACGGTAAGAGCTGTGTATTTTCTTGTTTCCACAGAGAGCCCCTACACAGGCCTTGGAATCTGTGGATGGATTTTGGTGTTTTTCTCATTCTTGTTTACACTCGCAACTTTTCCATTTTCAATATGGTTGTGCATAAAGGTAAAGAATATTTCATTCACGTCTGCAAAAGTGTCAACTCCTAGCCACAGAAACCCACTTTGTGTATGCATGTGTAGGAGAGACAGAGGTTGTGGTGGCCTGTACTTCTTTTCCCTCCATCTCTCCTTTGGAAAATTCACGCTGGTCAGCTATTACAGGGGAATCTTACCAGTTCTTTTCAGCCCGTTCAGGCCGTCCTTCCTGAGGGTTAGATGAGAGCGCCATCCACAGTGTTCTGGCTTTGGGAGTGTGGGGTGGTCCTGTGAGAAACTCTCCAGAGTCAGGATGCTGAGATTCACTGCTGGCTCCATTGTTGAAAGTGTGACCTCTGCCATGTTTCCTCACCTGTAAAACGGGCCATTGTGAGGATTAAATGAGTTAATGTGTTTAAACATACTTATCCCAATACTTGACACATAGTGAGTGCTTCCCAAATGCTGGTTATAAAGTGATTAATACTTTGATAGATGACTATCATTTATATATTCCTAGAAAGATAAATGCGCTCTAAGAATTATTATAATTTAAGCCCTGGCTGGCGTAGCTCAGTGGATTGAGCGCGGGCTGGGAACCAAAGTGTCCCAGGTTCAATTCCCAGCCAGGGTACATTCCTGGGTTGCAGGCCATGGCCCCCAGCAACCGCACATTGATGTTTCTCTCTCTCTCTCTCTCTATCTATCTATCTCCCTCCCTTCCCTCCCTAAAAATAAATAAAATCTTAAAAAAAAAGAATTATTATAATTTAAGAAATTAGGAGACAAATGTGAGAACTTTAGCTTTTTTTCTGTATTAATGATGCATGAGTAATTGAATAATAATGTTAATAGCTGAGGGGTGAGGTTATAGATTTGCTTCTGTATACTATTCTATACTTTATAAATTTTATACAATGAATAACTCTTCTATAATTAGTAAAAAAAAGTAAGTAAATATCATACTTGGAGGTATTAACCATTAGACATATTATTTGTAGATATAATCTGGATTATAGAGAAGGAAATGGAGTCATGTAACCTCTTTAGAGAAGAAACATTTTTAAAAAGCTATGCATATAAATATTTGTGCTTATACTAAATTATTGTTTATGTTTTTAATCTAGATCATAAAAGAATACGAAAGAGCCATCATCTTTAGATTGGGGCGCATTTTACAAGGCGGAGCCAAAGGACCTGGTCAGTACTGGGATTCTAGGTTGTTTACCTGGAGACTGAAATTCTTTCTTTTATTGATGTGATTTCCCTTATGAGGCTCTCTTCTGTTGACTTGGAAAGGAGTTCTTCATATAACAGAAGCTGTATAACAATAGCAGGGGTGCTAGCCAGTCTTGCTATAACCACTCTTTCCTTCCTTCTTCTCCCCTCCCCTTCCCATTGGAGCTGATAAGATTGTCGTAGGCCAGGAATAGCTAAAGCTGTGTGAGTTTAAGCATGAGAGTCTCCACTGAAACAAAGGCTTTGAACCCCAGCTGGCGTGACTCAGTGGACTGAGTGCCAGCCTGTGAACCAAAAGGTCAGTGGTTTGATTCCCAGTCAGGGCGCATGCCTCGGTTGTGGGCCAGGTCCCCAGTTGGGGACATGAGAGAGGCCACTGGTCGATGTATTTCTTGCACATCGATGTTTCTCTCCCTCTCCCTCTCCCTCCCTTCCCATCTCTCTAGAAATAAATAAACTCTTTTAAAAAATAAAATAAAGGCTTTGAGTTATTTTTTGGCAAACTTCATTTAAGTTCCCAGCGTCCAGGCTCTGGGAATTCACTGGAGACTCTAACACAGCAATCCCCAGCCTTTTGGCACCAGGGACCAGTTTCGTGGAAGACAATTTTTCCATGGACCAGGGTGGGGGAATGGTTTCGTGTGATTCCAGGGCATTCCATTCAAGCTCACCTCCTGCTGTGTGGCCCAGCTCCTAACAGGCCCCGAGCGATAGTGGCCAGTGGCCTGGAGGTTGGGGGGGGACCTGCTCTAACACAGTCCCTGCCCTCAAGGATCTTATTGTCTAGTGGTGGGACACCAGCAAGGAGACAGATAGTTACAATTCTATGTGATGAGCATTGTGATCCAAATAGCTGTGGAAACCCAGAGAAGAGTGCCTGACCCGAACTTGTAGGATGAGACAAGGCTTTCCGGAGGGGACAACTGGGCTGAATCTTGAGGCATAAAAAGGTATGAGGGGAGGTATTCCCGCCAGAAAGAGCAGCGTGTACAGGGCAGTATAGAGGAGAGTGTTCCAGATTCAAGGAACTGCGGGTTGCTCGGAGCGGAGGACAGGAGGAGAGGGGGTGACTGAAGAGGTTTGCTGGGGCAGGTCCCGCAAACCTCGCATGGCTCGTTCAGCGGTTTGTACTTCAGGAAGGAGCCCTCTGCTTGCAGCTTAGAGACTAGATTGGAGGAGAGACGCTGGAAGGAACAGAAAGATGACCTGGGAAGTGATTGCACAGGTCTAAGTGAAAACAGAGTGACATCACAGTGGAGAAAGGCCACGCAGTTTACAGGCCTTGGTGAGGACCGCTCAGGTCCGGGAGTAGGCGAGAGGAGTCAAGGATAACGATCCCAGGTTCTGACTCCTCCGCCGAGATGAACTCATGACTTACAGTGGATGAGGTCGATGCTGTGAGACCTGAAGGGAAGGGAAGCCGATGAGGTGCTGGTCTCTCCCCATAACCTTCTGTGGGTCTTGGTTGCAGGTTTGTTTTTCGTTCTGCCGTGCACTGACAGCTTCATCAAAGTGGACATGAGGACCATTTCGTTCGATATTCCGCCTCAGGAGGTAAGGCGGCCCTTTGCAGTGCAAGACCGAGGTAGCACGTGTGAGAGTGCGGGGCAGTGAGCGCGGCGTGGGCGGGGTTACGGCGTGGGCTCCGCCTGTCTGCCCTCACCGTCTTCTAGCTGGGGTCCCTGAGCCGGGCGTTTAACTTCTCTGGGCTTCAGCTTCCTAATGTATAAAGTAGAGATCGTAATAATAGGATCTACTTTAAGGGCTTCTTGAGAGAACTGAATGAGTTATACGCAAAGTACTTCCAACAGTGGCTGGTAGTGAAGGGCTGTGTAAGTGCTTGTTTTTATAAAACGCAGTGTAATGTTAATGTAAGTATATTACATTATATATAACGTAATAATATATATAATAATAATATAATAATGCACAGGTTAGCATTATTACTGTTATTTTTACTCTACCACATTTCTTCTCTCTGGGTTTTCTGACAGAAAATCCTGTTTGGTATGTTATTCTTCTCCCTACAGGTCTTGATTTTATTCTAGATAACTGGTTCAAAGCCAAAGAATTACAAACTGCTTATTTGGCATTTTAGATAAAGTATATAATGTTTTAGACTAGTCATTATTTCACGCTTTTTCAAACGACTTCACAAACATTATCGCAGTTGAAACAGCAGGATCCCTAGAAAGCGTCTAGTTGCTGTGAGACGATGAGATTCCTCCAGGCCACAGCGGTAGACGCAGGTCGAAAACCCAGCTCTTTGGATTCCGGGTCCAGCGCTTTTCCCACAACCCCATGCTATGTGCATCCTGCATCAGCTCCTTCGTGGCCCTTGAGGTAGAGACGGCCGTGCTGGTACTTCTAAGGAGGCATCATAACTACTGCAGACAGAAGGCCTAGAAACATAATGAGGAGAGGGCCAGAAAAATACCGCCAGTGTTTCCTGGCCAAAAGCCAGGTATCCAGCAGGGTGGTGGGGCCTGGCCACGTTGCCTCCTCTTGTCACAGAAAGCCAGAAGCCAGCCTTGGAAGCTCCTTGCTGGGACTGAGCCAAGTAGTTGGTGAGGTCAGACCTCATAGTCCACACAGGTGTGGTGACACCAGAAGTCATTTTTACCCCCGAGAACAAGAGCGAGAGCATCGCTGTGTCCTCTGCACGTTTTCCTGTGCTTCAGGAAGGACTGGCTCCCAGAAGGAGCCCCTTTCGGGGTAGCTGGGAACTCGGGCTTTTCCTCTGCAGCACTGCAGGCATCTGGCAGAGTCACTGCCTGCTTCTGCCCGCTAGCTGCTCTCTGCTTTCCTGCCAGCTGTGGACGCAGAGCGCATTGGAACTTGGCAGGCAGTCCCTTTTCCCGTCCCTGTGAACGCGCTGTGGAGAGAGATAAACGCGCCGCCTGCGATAAACAGTCGGCAGAGAGGCTGCGGCATTGGAAGGCTCTGGCCGTGGCCGAGTCACAGAGTCAAGAATTTGTTTAGAAATGACACACATTTTTCCCATGGCCTCATGGGAAAGAATTACTTTTCACAGAAGATGGCAATGCACTATACATTTATTGACAAATCTCCCACTTCTCTTTCAAGTTAGAGTGATATATTTAGAATTATATTTCACGTTAGTGCTCTGAAGACTTTCAAAAGGGCCTTGTTCACCAACATTTTCTTATTTGATCTTCAAAGAAATTTGTGTAGAACTGGGCAGCCTTATTAGCTCCATCTCACAAATGAGGAATCTCTAGGTTAAACAGTTTAAATTTGTTTAATCCTCACCTGAGGATATATTTATTGATTTTGGAGAGAGAGGAGGGGAGAAAGGGAGAGAGAGAGAGAGAGACATTAATCAGTTGCCTCCTGTACACACCCGACCAGGTACTGAACCTGCAACCTAGGCAGGTGCCCTGACCGGGAATTGAACCTGTGCTCTTTCAGTTTGCGGGACAAGGTTCCAACCGACTGAGCCAGAGCAGCCAGGGCTGGGTCAAACAGTTTAAAAGCTAGAGGTCACCGAGGGAAGTACAGGCAGAGTTGAAACTCCAGGTCTCCTCTCACTGCCATGCTCCCCATTGATCACTGTATTCCAAGGACCCCGTTTCATTTTAACTCATCTCTTGTTTATTGACAACTTGCTATGTATCAAGCATTCTGCTGGAGCTAGAGATACGAAGACAGATGCCTCAAGAAATTCATAGTCTAATAGAGGAATAATGATGTGAATCAGTAAAGTCACTGCAGCGAGGTTCAAAGGGACGGGCGTGCTCTGCCGTGGCTTTGAAAGTCAGCCGGTGTCACGAGATGTTCTATGAAATAGCATTCCTGACAGTTATATTAAAGAAAGAGTTGGCAGGCAGACATAAAATCGCTTTCTTTACATCGTAGATCCTCACTAAGGACTCGGTGACAATTAGTGTGGATGGCGTGGTCTATTACCGCGTCCAGAACGCGACCCTGGCCGTGGCGAACATCACCAACGCCGACTCCGCCACCCGTCTGTTGGCGCAGACTACTCTGAGGAACGTGCTGGGCACCAAGAACCTCTCCCAGATCCTCTCCGACAGAGAAGAAATTGCGCACAACATGCAGGTGAGGCGTGCCGCTCGCTAGAAATCTCGAATTGAAGCAGAGACTCGATGGTTGTTGGAGAACTTACCCACGGAAGTTGGGGGACCACTGGCTGGCCTTTCTTTCCTCACAGAAAGGCTTTCCCACACCTGATGGAAGGGGATGTTTTCCACACAGATAGCTCATGGGTAGTAACACTCAGATGTGTGCATTGTTTTTCCCATCCAGTGTATATATCTTTCCAGAATTAGTATTAACCCTTTCTTTAGCATAGTAGTTCAGAGGCTGTTTGTGTAGTGCGAGTGTCGGTGAAGTTGTGTTCTCAGAGCCCCGTGATGCCCTGGGAAGTCGCATGCTTTCCAGTGCTGCTCGAGTCATAGATGATCCGTTACACCTGACCTCTTCGAGAGCACTATTGACCTGACCTCTTGGTACTCGTTGAGACTTCATTGCGTGTGAAATCTGTGACCTTAGTCGATACCAACAATAACCATGGGGAATAAACAGTACGACTTCACTCCCGCCGCTGCAAGGGGAGGAAGCCGAAGCACAAAGAAGGAACGTGGCTCACGCAGAGTCACATCAGCTTGGGGCTTGGCTGACCACCTGTCTTAATCGGGAAAGTCGTATTGGAATACAGCCACGCCCATCTGTGTGGTATCCACGGCTGCTTTTGATCTAGAAGAGCAGGGTTACATAGTTGCAGCAGACTGAAAAGCAGTAATCACTATCTGCCTTTTTTAAAGATTTTATTTCTTTATTTTTAGAGAGGGAAGCGGGGGAGAAAGAGAAAGAGAGAAACATCAATGTGCGGCTGCTGGGGGCCATGGCCTGCAACCCAGGCATGTGCCCTGACTGGGAATCGAACCTGTGACACTTTGGTTTGCAGCCCGTGCTCAATCCACTGAGCTACACCAGCCAGGGCACTAGTTGCCTTTTTAGAGAAGGTTTGCCTGTGTTAGCATGTTAGCAACCGAATCAGACCCAGGTTCCCAGTGAGCCAGCGCCAGGTCCACCCCAGGTCCCAGTGTGCCCAGCGACCTCAGGCCCCAGGACCGGGACCGACCATTGACCACTGTAGCCTGCCTTCCCTCTTCCTGCCAGACCACCCTGGACGACGCCACGGATGACTGGGGGATCAAGGTGGAGCGCGTGGAGATTAAGGACGTGAAACTGCCCGTGCAGCTGCAGAGGGCCATGGCCGCGGAGGCGGAAGCATCCCGGGAAGCCCGAGCCAAGGTCACCTTTTTTTTTTTTTGTAGTTTGTTTTTCCTACTGAATTCTCTTTTTAATTAAAAAAAAACATGTTCGTTATAAAAATTAGAAATACTCCTGAAGTATCGAGTTAAGGTGAAAGCCCTCCCAGTCGCTTCACACTGTATCTCCCCAGAGGTCGCCACTCTTAACAGGTTGGTGTGTTTACTTCCAGATTATCGCTTCTGGTTTGTTTGGGTTTTATTTGACTAGCTTGTTAGGCTGTCGGCCTGTTTGTTTTACAGACGTAGGTGGCACCATACACACTGTTCTGCACCTTGCTTTTTTCACTCAGCATCTCATGGGCAGCATATCAGCACGTCCAGCGTTCCCTCACTCTTTTACTGTGTGTCCTGTGCTTTGTTCTCCTCACCGCCTGCAGGGGACAAGCTCTCAGTCCTGACATCAGAGCAAATGGGCAGCCTCACCGGTTTGCTTGCCATTCGTTTCTTTTGTCTCCTTTCCTGCTCTCCCTTTTCTCTGGATCTTCTTTTTTCTTACTGTTGCTTCTTCCTCTCTCTCTCCTCTTTCTAAAAATTTTTCTTTCTTTGTGCCCTGACCGGGAATCGAACAGACAACCTTTGGGTTCACAGGCCAGTATTCAGTCCACTGAGCCACACCAGCCAGGGCTAATTTTTCTTTTTTGATGTCTGCCCCCCTCATCCCTTCCTTTCTGTCATCATCTCTGCCTGTGTCTCAACCCTGCGTAGATGCGTGACCCCCTTTGAGAAGAAGCGCTGAGGCTGTAGTTGTTAACCTGACCTAGGAAAGAGGCTCTAGGGAGGTGATGCTGCGTAAGGATGCAGGACTGCCTCGCCAGGCAAACCCAAGGGCGGGACGTAGAGTCGAGCTGCATCAGAACTGGAGTCAGGACGGAAGGGAGCGAGTCATTTTGTTTCCCGGGCCTCATCGCGCTGCAGACGGTCCGAGGGAGAGACTGTCTGGCTCTAGTCGAACACTGACGGAGACAGACCAGCCCGGACTCCAAATCCACAGCAGAGAGATTGTCCCTGGCCCAGCCGTGGCTGAAGGGTAAAGTCAGGTGCTAATCAGGGCTCACAGCCCCCTTGCCCATGCCTGTGCGGAGGAATTGGGGCAGTTTGGTAGGAGGGGCCTCTGTGGACCTGACAGATCTTCCAAGACACCAGGAGTAAACCCGTTTGTTGTTGTTAGAAGATTAGCAGTAGCTGGTGGTAATTGGCTAACCGCAGCACCCCGCCCTTCCCTTAGGATGCCTCGTAAGCCACAAATGGGTCACTGTAATTCCTTAACCAGCCCCAAATAGAGTAATAGTTCACTTGACACAATACACCCAGAATTTCCTGCTAACCAGAAATTTTGGGTTTTTCTGATGTGATCACTGATGCTTGTGAGGCTGCCCTGGTGACACTCAGATCCTTCAAGTGCTTTCTTTCAAATAATCACACGTAGAAGACTAAATTGTATTTTTGATAATATTAAACATGCCCTACTAGAATCTAATTATTTAAAAAATTAGGAATCACTTGTACCTACAATATGTCATTCACCAAAAGCCCCATTTCCAAGTCACACTGAACAGCAGAATTTGCCACACACAGAATGTCAGGGCCCCAGGGGTCCGTAGGGGCCATCTTCGGAGGGTGACAAATACCCGGCCCAGATGCCACCACCCCACCCTGAATTCCCACACTGGTAATTAACCACGGCGCTGTTCCCCACTGGGCTTAGACTTGGCCTTCCGGAGCACTTCTGGTAACAACCCCTAGCTGCTTGGAAGTGGCTCTTAAAATGAAACTTATGTGCCAATCCACTGCTCAGATTTAAAAAATTGAAGCCTAGAAAAGCTACGTGAAGGTCACAGAGTCTGTTAATGGTGGTAGAGATTAGAAGTCCCCTCTGCCCCTCATGGCCTCCTCTGGAACTTTCCAGGGTGGACTGAGCCTCATCTGCAAGTGTTCTCACCAGTTAGGAAAGAGAATTCCTACTTCCTTTGAAAACAGTAAGAAGAGATTACTGAAGCTGGTTAAAATTCTACACTGCTCTGCTCCCACTGGCCCGGGGCCGGAGGGTTGGTCCGGAAGCAGTCCCGTGGCCCCGGCGGTGATGCTCGTCTGTCTTTCAGGCCGGGGTCCACACGTAGAATCGTCGTGAGTCCAGCCCTTCTGTGAAATGCAGTGACTCTGCAGCATCCATAAGGCCATATATTCCAAACCATATATTCAAGTTCTCACGGAAAATAGGGTAGGCCCGTTTCTTCAACAAATAAACAGCAAAGATAGGCAAACCTACAGATTAAGAGACTTCAGAGAAAAGTTCCTTTGTTAATTAGGCTTCAGGAAAATATAAATTCAAATCACAAGGAGATGCCACACTAGACATCCACCAGAATGGCTTTAAAAAGAAAGAAAGAAAAGAACCAAGTGTGGGTGAGGGAGGTACTGGAACTCTGTTTCGTTGGTAAGAGTATAAATTGGTGAGACTCCTTTGTAAAACTAGCTGGCAGTATGCACCTAACAGAAACGCACAGGTGTGTTTATAAAGAGGCATTCCCTGCAGTACAGCAGAGCCTTATAATTGCCCCAACTGGAAACCACCCCAGTGTCCATTGCTAGCTGTGGGATAGTGTGGTTTGTTCCCCTGAAGGGGATACTCTACAACAAAGTGAATGAACATGCAAGTGCTCACGGATAGAATTTGAGAGAAAGGAGCCAGTCACAGAAGAGGACAGATTCTCCCCCCAGTTAGTTAGCTGAATTCTTGAAAGTTTTTAGACCAACTCCTCATGACTTGAATGAAATACAATCTCCTTCCTTTGTCATAACTCTCAGAGGAATGCTTGACGTGCTTCCAAGCTCCCATTTCTGGGCTTGGCCATCTCTTATGTGAGAGGGTGGAGTGCAAAAATACAGATCATTTTTCTCTGCCCTTCTTCCGGACCAGCCCACCTGGGCCGCAGCGGGAGACAGCAGTAACCTGACAGACTTGAAAATGCCAGATTTTAAAACAGTGGTCCAGAAATATCAGGTGTTGATTGATACAGGATTACTGTGCATTTGGCAAAAGCCCCACCTACCCACATGTACCCTGTTTCGCTTTCTAAAATCCTGTCCACAATGTATGTCCTTGGCCTACGTTGAGGCAGCGATGTTGGGTTCACATCTTGGGCAGCTCACTCAAGGCAGCTTTTCTGTGAACAAAGTGTGTGTCCGGCCCAGTGGGTCTGACTTCCCAGCCAAGAGATTGTGTATTGATCGGTGGTGGGAGGTGAGGTATGTTTGCAGTTGGTCCATGTCCAGACCAAAAAAAAAAAAAAATCTAATTGGAAATCCGAGATGACGTGGGGAAAAATCAGATCCCACTGTGCTCGTGGCAGGGGTTTACTCATGCTTTCTCTGCTGTGCTTGTCTCGGAACACAGTTACATGATTCTCTTCTAGCATACCTGGCACTTGCCCCTTCTCAGAGACTTCAGTAGGACATGATGGGTTTGCCTGGATAAATTAAGTTGTTTAACCCTCTAAACTTGGCCCTCACCCTGAAAAAGGACCGTGTCCTACATTTCCAATCTCACCCAGTGGCACTCTCAGGCGGCCGAGACCTAGAAACCCGGGACTCGGCCCCTGTCCCCTTTCCTCCCGCACACACTCAGCCCCCCAGCACCAGTGAGTTGTGCCCGTCGCTCTGAAGCACTTCCCCTCCCTTCCCCTCCCCTCCCCTCCCCGTGGGTCCTCAGTCATCTCTCAGTGTTTCCCCCTCAAAACCTCGCTGGCGCTGGCGTGCTGCCTGGGAAGTTCTGTGCTACCTGCCGGCCACCTGCCACTGTCTCCGGTTTGATCTCTCCTTTCCCTGCCCGCAGGTCATTGCAGCCGAGGGGGAGATGAATGCATCCAGGGCCCTGAAAGAAGCCTCCATGGTCATCACTGAGTCTCCTGCAGCCCTGCAGCTCCGCTACCTTCAGACACTGACCACCATTGCCGCTGAGAAAAACTCCACCATTGTCTTCCCTCTGCCCATAGACATGTTGCAAGGCATCATAGGGGCAAAACACTGAGGCCTACCGGCCTCACCCACTGGGGAGCTCTGCCCCTCTGAGGACGAAGCAGGGACCAAACTAGCCTTTAACCCATAAGGAGAGAGTGGGGAGGGCAGCTTGACCGTTCTCCCTCCCTTTCCTTTTCCATCTATTGAGTGTGATATTCCTAGAATGTGTAGTGACCTGAAACAGATAAAGATTGTTAGCTTGTAAATACTGTGTATGAGAGGGACATTTATATAAGACAGTCTCTTGCTCTTTAAATATAAAGAAGTTCATATTTTTACATCATTATGTGATAGGTTAAATTCCCACCCCCCACCCTTTTTGACTTTCACTGAGCAGTTCTACACTCGCAGCCAGGAGCCAGGGCAAAGGAACCCACCCCCTTGACGCCCTTGGCTGGAGGCGTGCTTTGCAGAAAACAGTGGCCCCAGGCCACAGCCAGCTTCTCTGGGCCACCTGTGCCTTACTCCCGGGGAATCATACCTAAGGAAAATTTCATAACATCCGTTTACTCTAAATCCAAACTGTGTTTCAAAATAATCCTCCCTGGAAACTAGGCATTTTCTCGGCAGCACCGGAGGAAGGCCAAGATCAATGAAAGCGATTGCCCTAACCTTTGAAAGACTTAAATCCGCTATTGTAGAGGTCCTTTTAAAATAATGTGGCGGGGTTTTTGTTGTTGTTGTTGTTGACTTCTTGAGGTCTCTCTGTGAGTAAATGAACCTGCTGCAGTGTGTGACTCAGATCAGCTGGACGCCTGCCACACAGTGCTGCCGCCTCATGTTTGCCCACTTTCATAAAACAGTTTCTAAATAGTTTTGATTTTTTTAAATAAAATTTTCTGAGTTCTATAAATAGTTGTTTTTATAGCCACTTGAATAGCTTAAGGACTAATACTTTCTAAAATATCTTCGGAAGACCATGATATTTCACTGTCTGCATGTATTAACTGTTGTACGCTGTGAAATATACTGGTTACAGATCCCACTCATTAAGAGGTACATAGAATTCACAACATGTTAAGCACATACATCCCATGAGTGTGGGAAGGCACAGTCAGGCTTAGGATATCTGAAGTAAACGGATGTAGATCTTTATTTGCTTCCACGTTCTTGACGCTGAAGGAGGAAGCGGTCAGCCCTTCTGAACCACAGCTGCTGCGTCTGTGATCCTGGGAAGCACCTTCCGTGTCTCAGATGCCCGTGGCCTGAGCAACCTGGCGTTCTCCGTGCCAGCCTAGAATGCTGGCTGACAGTGACGCGTCCCCTTCGCGGCCGAGTCCAGCCCCAGAAGTCTAAGGCCAGCTGCTCCCTCACCAGAGCCACTCGACGCGCCTGTCATTAGCCGGGGTACCCTGTCAGTCCCAGCCAATGAGTGTCCCCTCCCCTTCACCCCATTCCCAAGCTTATCTTAGAAAACCTTGAACCACCATGGATCCTGGCTTAGTTTATTAGATGTATAGGGAGCATTTCGACTTGAAACTCAAGTGATGTATAGAATTCGAAAACAATGATTTTATCTCTTTTATGAGGTGGCTCGCCCTTAACAACTACCGAGGACCAGAAAACAAGCACATACTCCAGCTGAAAGTCTCTTCCCAGACCTAGAGTAACAATGCTTTCGGTCCCTTGAGTTTCCCTGTCCCCAGGCACCAAACAGTCTGTGTTTTTCTGCCTGTGGATTCATAGCCCAGGAGTCTGAAATGAAATCGCCTGGGGTGAGGGTGTGAGCGCAAGAGTTTGTCCCCAGTGGCCTCCCTTCCCAACACTGTACATAATAATAAAGAGTGCACTTTCACCAACTTTCTTGGGGTGAGAGCCTGCTTCTTCCTGCATCCAGCGCACATGGTTTTCCTTTTCCAGAGGTGGCGCATGAGATGCCCCAGTCCGTGCTGCCTGCCGTGGCCTTACCACGTGCTCCTCAAGGGCCAGAGGAAGAGAAGAGATGGGGTGCAGCCCATCTGGCACCTCTCGCTCTGGTGCACCTGACCCCCGCCCCGCACACTTCCCCAGGGAGTTTGAGTCCTTGCACCCCCGAAACCTCCGCTGGTTTCATTTCCTTTTGCCTTAATCCAAGCAAGAGAGGACTCGCTTCTTGCTGCCACCCAGCTGCTCACCTGGGCAGACCCTCGACTTACAAAGGCAAAATCGATGATATAAAACCAGTGGGCGCCACCTGCAACGTTCCACCTTTGGAGAACCGTCTTGAATCGATGGTTACCATCTGTGGAGCACCAGGTACCTGGCTCTGTGCTCAAATACTCATACAGGCATTCTGTCATTTTATCCTCAAGACAGCTTGGTGGAGATACTTCATGGTCCCCATTTTACAGACGAGGACACTGACGCTCAAAGGTTAAAACTTCCAGAGTCACGTGGCTGGTAAGGAGCAGAGGTGGGAGTAAACATGGACTGTCTAATGCCAAAGACTCGAGGTGTCAGAATGCATCTTCACGGGACAGTGCCTGCCTCCACCCCCGCCCCACACGCACCCCCAGCGGCGGTCACTGTACCTGTAGAAAACGACTTTGCAGGGCTGTCCGAGTTCATTAGAACTTCAGCGTTAGGCCCTCAGACCGAGGCCAAAGTGGAGTCCAAGTGAGGGGCGTAGACTGGGGGTTTGTAACCATCAAAGGTTACACCACACTAGCCTGAGCTGGAGGAAACCCAGGTTCCTCGGCCCTTCGAGCTTCCGTGGCCCTTTGCACCGTGCGGTTTCCATGGCGCTCACTGCACCAGGTCTCCCCAGGCTTGCTCAGCTCGTAAATAGTGAGCCCGCAGTTTCCAAACTTCTTTTTAGCAGCAATTCCCCCACCCTCTTTTTTCTCCAAGGGAAACTGTACGTTGGGAAAAGATTGAAAGTGTCTTTTATCAGGATGAATTCTTAAATTCACACATCTAACATTTGTTCACGTCAACCCATGAGGCTGTTTTAAAAAACAATAGTCAACGTTACAAAAGACAATTACAGTCTTAAATCAGTCTCCACATTCAGTTAATTTCTCCATTTTCAAGTGTCAGATATTTATTATTGCTTTAAAAATAGTATCAAATATTCATAAAATCACTGAAGCATCTCATAAGATTCTACACATCCCCATGTTAAAATCACTGCCCTCAAGCGCCTTCCCCACCACCCCAGACCCCCCTCTGAGCCTCATCTGCCTCACCTGTTACGTGAGACGTTGGACTCCACCTGTGTGGGTCTCAGGCCTTGTGAGAGTGTTGTGGGAGCTACAGAGCAGCAGTTTGCCTGCAACCTCAGGGGATGCACTGACCCCACCACGCTGCCCGTCCAGGGATTTAAGAACCACTGGACCAGATAATCTCTAACATCTTTAAACTTTTCAGCAGCTGGGCTCAGGCCAGGCTGGCTTTTGCCTAAAGCAGGGGTGTCAAACTCATTTTCACCAGGGACCACATCAGCCTCGTGGTTGTCCTCAGAGGGCCGAATGTAATTTTAGGACTGTGTATAAATGTAACTACTCCTTAACAAGTGAGAGTTTGGCACTGCCGCCAGGTAGAAACAAGGTGCTGGGCCACATAAAACAAGGTGGAGGGCCAGATGCGGCCCACAGGCCTTGTGTTTGCCACCTGTGGCCTAAAAGATTCACACTTGCTGATAGGATACAGCCCTTTTCAATCCACCCAGAACATAGCCAGAACAGTTTGTTGAGAAAGGAAATTGAAACCAATGATAAAACTGAGGTTTTAGAAAGCTCTGGAAAGTTAGTTACTACAATGGAGGCTGGGAATCTGCCCTTAAAGGTTCTAGAAACAATAGGCTGGAAGTCAATTCCTCTGGAAGTTACTGGAGGCCGCAAGACTAAGGAACCATTACTATTAATGATCATTTTCAGCAACCTGGCCCCCCAAAAGTCTCCAACAGAAGTGGCCATCGCCCGATCATCTATTTACCCCCTTCCCCCATCCTAGGAACCATGACTCTGCTTAGGTGCCTTGGCCTTAGTGCTCTCCCTCCAGGGGAAGAGGAATTCAACCCCCGATCCTGGATCCCTTCACCCGGATCAATCTAACTGGCCCCTGATCGGTCGGAAATAGTAACGTGACTCTCTATGGGCTCTTGAGACCAGAGGAGAGATTCTCTGTGGAGCGGGGAACGCTTCCTCCTCTCTTTTCTGGGAAAACTAGAAACAACCCTTTCTCTTTTTCTCTGGGCATCGCCCTGGGTGGCTGTGAGAGCCAGAACCCCTGCAGCTATCCCACGACCAGCTCGGGCACGGCAGAGCCAAGAGGAGTAATGGGCCCCTAGACAGGCCCAGTGGTTTCTGCTAACCGTGAAGGCCCTTCCCCCCCACCCCCAGACAGTGAACTATATCGTGCAGGAGGGCATGTGAGTGTGCTTACCGTTTAATTTGGTTCAGGTTGGTTTTCCATTGCTTACGGGCAAAATTGACCTTTCTAACCCACAGTCCTTACCTCCGTGGATGTATGTTAGGTCCTGCTGTGGGCTAGGCTCTTTGGTTACACACAGAAAAAGAAGGGGATTTTATTTTTTATTTTCTACCATTTTTCTGCACTTACTATGGGCCAGGCATGTTACTAAGCCACACCCCCCTTCATCCCCATAAAGAGTCCCAGTGTGTAAGCAATGATCTGATTCCACTCCGCAGGTAAGGAAGCTACCAGGAGTGGGGGTGAGGTCGCACTGCTGGTAAGCGGGGGAGCGAGGACGAGCTCAGGTTGGACTCCAAAGCCCAGCCGGTCAGCACCACATCACAGCACCTCCAGCTGGGCGCTGTTTCACTACACCAGTGCCACTTTGCAGGTGGGGAAGTTGGGGCTCCTGAGACAGTTTCTATGCTCTCTCCATCCAGTGTTGCACACTGCCTGGCACAATGTACACGATAAATATCCGTCGAACCGAGCTGCCTGACATAGGACATGAGGATCCCAGGCCAGGGCCGTCTCTTTTAAGACACAGCCCTGTGGCACCCTTCATGACCTTTCACAGTGACTTCCCCATCGCAGATGGAGTCCGAGGTCTCTCAGAAACCGTCAGGAAAGGAAACTAACTGCCTGGCTGAGGTGACTGATAGTGTCCCTGACTCATTACTTTGCCCCCGAGGAAAATGCGAAGTCCAGGAAATTCAGCTGTTTCTGAAAACTCCCTTTCCCAGAGCACTGCAGGGCTCTCTCCGAGTTGCAGCCCCCAACGCACGGAAATGGACCTAAAAAACCACCTTGG